CATAAGTATTTTTAATTTTCACTCAATACGGGTGATTTGAAAAGTTATCTGGCAATTAATTTAATTACTAGTAAATGTCATTTTTAATAAAGATTTTTTTTATATTTTATATAGAAAAAGGATGGATTATATAAATTCTTTAATCGCGTAAATGTGACCTAAACTGAGATTCATTCGACAGTCTTAATATAATCTAATCATAACATTTAATTTTATTAATTAAACATAAGCATTCTTCGTAAATTATGAAAATAAATGTTTTTACATTTAATTTTATGAATGTACAATGAAATATGCATTATATATTATCAAATTCAATTATTAAGATATTTACTAATTATGTAATTTGAGTTATTATACCAAATATAAGATCCATGTATTTAACAAATATATATAAAAAAAACCTTAACTTTGAATTTATTTAAAATTTTATAATTGCATTTGAAATCATCATTGAATGTAAAATTAAAATCAATAGTAATAAACAAAGGATTTGTGAATATTTATTAATGTGATTTTTGTTTATGAATTTGTGTATTCGTTGAATACGAATGTGAATTCATTATTATTTTCTAAATGTTTGAAATGCGTCTGAATTAATGGACAGTATTATGGAGATGGGAGTGTGAAATACAGGTATGATGTAACTAATCTAGGAATCTGATGTGACAGTAATGCGACGGTTTGAGTGCATTGGTGTGTTCTAGGAAATGCATGATGACGGACGTCCAGATGCATATTAATGTCATGTCCGCAGATTTGATGCAAAATACTGTCCCATCCAGAAATGTTCGGACGTCAGTGGGCGGTCCGACAGTAGGGCTTCTGAAAAATGCAGACCCGTCATCTCTGGGAAAAAGAGTATCACGAAAGCTGACAGAAAAAAAATGAATGGAAGAAGTAAAGAAAATGAAAAAAGAAACAACGCAACTCATGAAATACAGATTTGTGCACGGTTGGAGAGTGCTAAATGTTTTGACACGGGACTGATTTGTTAATTAATATTTAAATAGGGCCGGAACTCCATTTTGGTGTAGGTGTCGGAGGGCGGAGCTTAGGGCCGACCATATAGAGGGGACGAACCAGTCGGGAGGGTTCAAAGGTAAGATCAAAAGGGCCGAGCTCGTCCTTCTCTCATTATCCGGCGAGCATCGGCCGTGGCACAATCGTGGCCCTTTGCTATCCCAGGCTCCCTCCAGTCAAGTGTGCACCAACAACCATCACCGGATGCCGGAAAGTGAATCAGTTTGTGTTCGGTTTAGTGCGCGGTAAGTAGCCATAAAAAAAGGGCACGTCTCCAGCAGACGTAAATTAATGGCAAAGTACAAATCTACGTGAACTTAAACGCGAGGTTCGGCTGCGAACCTTTTCGTCGTCTCGTCGCGCATCGATATCACCGCGCTCTTGAAGGAAAACCAGGCGCATCCACCAACGACCCCAACCACAGTTACCACCAATCGGGGCGCGTTCAGCTTTTGATTGTTGCTCAGAAAGCCGTCCCTTTTTCTGCTGCTGGCTTTCGGGCGATGATCAAAGACCGAGCGCGTCCATTCTCAACGCCACTTTATATTATATACTTTTCTTGATATATAGTGATATAAATATATTATATGATATTTTAATATAAATAAATGTTTCATACAAAATAATAATGATATTCCCTAGAATAGTCCACCTCTTTCATTTTTTTTAATAAGAATCTTTATTTTTTATTTGGGGGTTGATAAAATTCTTTAAATATGTAAATTAATCGAAAGGGTTAGGGTAAAGGGTACAATGGAGGGGGTTTGTAACTTGTGTAGAAATCTGGTAGATGGCGCTCGTATAGTCATTTTATTGATCACCGTTCTGGAGGTTGCATAACCAACCAAACCTAACCAATCCAAGTCAACCAAATGTTATCAAGTCGTGTTACTTGATGTAAGCACAAACAAGTAGTTATACATCATCGCAGTACTCAAGTGCCGGTAAATCCAACATATATTCTAAAGATGTGTTCGTTATACAAATCCATAGCTGTGTTATTATCGATTTCTGTGATTGCCCTGGAGGGCGTACAACCTAGTAATAACAAAGACCTCATTAAACAAAAAAGGTTGCCCCCGTGCAGGGCCTGCAAGACGTTCGTAGACTCCTTCAAAAGGGTACGTGTATTTTACCGCTGCAACACATCTTGATCATCGAAATGAGTTAGATTATTTTATCATAGATGGAGCTATTTATAATTTTAAGGGCATGGAGAGGACAGAAAAGGGCAAGTTTGAAGGGGGTGATGCAGCCTGGGAGGAGGAAAAGCTAAAGTCCTATTCCAAGAGCGAAATTAGATTGGTGGAGATTCAAGAGAAGCTTTGCTCG